TATTATATTAAACACTCTATATATTGATATGTCAGTTTTTGTTCAAAATCTGGAAATGGGAATCTAATGTGAATGCTCGCTATTGCTCACAATTTTTGTTTAATTCTGATTTAGGAATAACAAAAAGTTATGAGTGTAATGACATTCATTTCTTTCCTTTTAACATTATGTTTGCACTTATTTTTTTTAAATGTTATTTTAGGACTTTTAAATATAATAAGAGAAAACTTATTATTGTGTTTGGAATATCTATGTATCATTTTAATTTTCTAGAAATTTATTTTTATTGTATTTTTAAAAACTATCTGTTCATGCCAAATTGGAAATAAAAACAAATGAATTAAAACTTAAAAATAGTAGTCCTTCACAATAGTTTTAAAAGCATTGTTTTAGAGGAGATTAGATATGTTATAATTATAATCAAGATAGAAATTTCTATACAGGAGTGTCAACCTCTGGAGTATACTGGAAGGTGATGTTCTCAGAGCTGGCAGGAAAAGTAATTGTTATTGGCATTGCATCTGGGCATTAAGTTTCCACAGAGGTTAAAATTTGAGTTTTCAGATTTGGGAAGAGATTCTGGGTAGAGAAGAAAATGTGGGCAAAGGTACAGAGACATGAAAGCTTTTAAGACTCAAGATAATATCAAGTAGCAAATGGAACTGCAACATAATACAAAGTGGAATAGTGGAACCCTGGCTGAGGCTTGGCTCTGAGAAGATTGAAACGCTAAGGGAGGAGCTTGGTGTTTATTCAGTTGCTAAAAGTGTTCCTCAGATGGTTTCTGAGAAGTACATTAGCAGTTTTTAACTAGGCCTTAGAAAGTTGTATTTGAGCACAACCTGCTCTAGGGATTGGACATGATGGGACTAAATTGGGGGAGAGCAATTTTTATTCCTTAGCAGTCATAAAAGAATCATATATACATATTTATTGAAAAAAATTGAGAAAAATCAGAAGAGCTAAGGAGAAGAAGGTAATCCGAAGACAATCACTGCTATATAATATAGACAATGTGATATCACATACTATCAAAATTGTTTTGAAGTCACTTTTATTAACTTTTTGGATTACAAACATGTCAATAAAATTGCTTATACATTATTTTTAGTGACTGCATAAGTTACCCCTATACAGTTGTACCTGGGGACACAAAGATATTATGGTAGTACTCAGCATAAAAGGATTAGTAGTGTTGTTGCTCAGAAATGATGCCCCAAAGAAAGCATGGCACTCTGACATGCTCAGTACTTTGAACTAACTAAAGGAGACTGGATGTCCTTGGAAGCAATCTCAGAAGCAAAATCTTTCTGACCTTCTCCCACCTTCTACTCTGCTGCCCCTCTATCTGTCCCAAAGCAAGTCATAGAAATCAGAATTCTTTTTCCTTAAGGCAGGTCGTAGAAACTAGAACCCTTCTTCCAAGGAAGCCATAAACCCCAGAAACATTACTTTAACCTTCCCCTGCCTTTCTATGCAGGAGGTGGCCATAAAAGAATTCTCGGCCATAAAGGAATTGTCTCTATTTTGTCTGATAGTAGATCATAAGACCCTCTTTCCAAAGGAGTCCTTCCCTATATCTGGGAGGAAAGAATGCTATTTAGAGAGGCCAAGAAGAATCTGAACAGACAGGCCTTTCTGGGTTTCCCCACTCAGTCTGTTACCATTAGATCATACCCTTTTGTCCAATCACATTTCGATATAGCTGTCCACACTTCATTGAACCTAAGCATAAAAACAGTTTCCCCTGGCCCTCTGTATCTTCACTTTTGAAGGCTCTAATAGCACTCAAAACTTTGATTAAACAAATTTGTTATATTTTTCTCTTGTTAGCCTGTCTTTTGTTATAGAAGTATCTTTCCACCCTACAATAATAATGGGATCTGTGAAAATATGATTGTCAGGGAGGTAATTGATGAATGTGCTACACATGACAATGGCATGTTAGAGCGAAACAATGAAAGAGGGTAAGTATTATACTTAGACATAAGGATTCAAGCAGGTTCTGCTCCCTGTAAGGTGTGTTCTTGGATAAGTTTCTTGGTTAAGCCTCAGTTTTCTTGGGTTAACCGTAATGTCATGTTCTATCATATGAAATATGCATATAAAGCATCTCACAGAGCTTAACATAGAAAGTACTCAATATTAGATCTTTCTTTGGTGATTAATTGATCATCAAATGTATGAATAGATGAATAATTTTAAAGAAGATGGATTTCCAGGTTTCAAGGTGACATAGCTAGGAAGGAGATGCTATAAAAATGTAGATTTCAAGGATATGACCAGATTTGGGGTAAGGCAATTGTTAAGCTAACCATGAACACGAGCATCCATCCAAGGCTGCGATGACATCCTCAGATATATTATTTGAGAACTAGCATAATGAATGACATCGCTTCACTACCACCAACACGTGTCGGGGCCGCCTAGACTTCCTCCTTTCCCTTGATCAGTAAAGCATTAAGAGTTTCTGTGATGACCTCTAAGAATTAAATGAAGCTTCTAAATAAGCTTAGCTTGGACTCCTTCGAGTGACTTATACACTAAGAAAACCTCTTGAGACATCTCTTGAGAATAAAGAAAAAGCTGACATTTACATTTAGATATAATTGTTGATAATGAGGCCAAGGTTACCTATCCTATTCATATAGTTCCCACTGCATTTCCTGGCTACATGAAGAATATGGAACTAGGTCAAATATCTAGTGATTACCAGAAAAGAGGTCTGAGTAGCATAAAAGCAAAAATCCATTCTCCTGTTTGAAAAGCAACTAAATGCAGGCAATCCAATGACAATGCACCAACTCTTTTTCCCAGTGATATTTATTAATACTAAGACTGTATGCTTTCAGAGCTTACATTCTGCTTACTTGAGTTTAAAGGGTTGCTTTTATGTCAAATGCTTTTATAAATATTGTATATGTTAGGTACTATTTTGAATGTTATAATAACACTGCAGCTTTGGCCTAGAATGCCTTCTGAAGATCAAGTTTACCAATGACTGGTAAAGACATTACTTTGATTAAAATGATTAACTCCAAAAATATTATTTTAGTATCATGTGAAGTGTAAGAGTAGAATCTGTGTCCTAGATATTGAAATGGGATTTAATTTAGCATGCAGTTCACTGCTTAAATATCTATCCAGTCCTTTGGCACTCAATATCAAAGTGTCAGTTATACACAGGAGTAAATGCTTCTTTAAATAGCCCAAGCTAACCTGAGAAGGCAGATGAGGCCCATCATTTTTTCTGGCTTTCCAAAGTCTAAGACTGTACAAATTTCTATAATTTGTCCAAAATCACGGTGAATTAAACAGAAGAGTATTCAGCATTTCAAATCTAATGACTCACAATACTATACATTTTCAAAAAATATTCTGACAGCTTCCCTTTTTATTTTCCTCAACAGAAAATATTTGCTAGCAAGTAAATAGGTGATTTGTGTAATTACACTCATACTTTAGAAGAATGATTTGTGAGACATTTGTGTATTAGGACAATGTTTGGCAACAATATACCTTTTTTCATTAGTTTTCTTTAGTCATAGTGCTCATCGTACCATACATGTGAAATAATCATAGTACAAAGGCAAAAATAAAGCTAGTCCTAAATTTATAAACAATCCAAAATATATATTTACAAATAGATTAAGAAAAATGTTATGTTGTGTTCTCTATGTGCACTACCTTTACAAGGACACATGTTCATCTTCTAATAGATTTCAACTGAAACTTATGTTTATGCAAAAATGACACTGGACTTTAATTTAAAACATTTATCCATTTTTTCAATAAATGAATCTTGAGTGTCTGCTGATCTTCAGGAACTAGATCAGTGCCAAGTAAACAAGTGTGATCTGCCCCTTGCCCTTCATGGGTTAAATTACATTCTTTTTATAGCTTCTATGAATTAAAGTTTAATTTACAGACATAAATATACTTAATTAGAATATTAGAGAAGAAGAAATGGTCTGTAAATGAGATGATTTTTATTAGATAAAAAGAGCTTTGCCTTTTGCCTAAAATAATTTACTCTATGCCTTGAAAATGTATTTTCAAAGATATTTTGTCTAAATAAAGTGAAGGGTAAAGACTAAATCTATCCAACCATGAAGATTAGTATGACTGGGAAAAGTAGAATACTCAAAGAATGACAAGCTGGCATGTTTTTCACCAATATATTTCTTATGACCAGCTCATCTAATAATGCCCTTACTGCCTTGGATAAAGACAAACCAAAGTCCATAGAGCTGTTAAGTGGTTATATTTTATTTTATTATTTTAATCCCAGATGCTGACTAAAAGAAAGCTGAGGTGGTTTCTTTGCTAGGCCAGAAAAAAAAGACAAAGTGTAATATATTTCCATATTATTTCCAAATCATTTCAACTTTGCAAAGAGCCTGCTTAGTTTGTAACACTTAAGCTAAGTGGAAGCCACAAACAGAGAAAAGAAAACTAATTATATTGTCAAATTTGAAGCACTTACATATATATGAGAGTGTGTATATGTGTGTATATGTGTGTATGTATATATGTATGTGTGTGTATATATGTATTTGTGTATGTGTATATATGTATGTGTGTTTATGTGTGTATATGTATGCGTGTGTATGTGTGTATGTGTATGTATGTGTGTATATGAGTGTGTGTGTGTGTGTGTGTGTGTGTGTATACAGGCTCCCAAAATCTATACTGCTACATCAAGAAGAATTATCTAGGGAAATGCTAGAGATGTTATTAAGTCTTTAAAGTCATACAAATGATGATCGTGAGAGAACAGCAGATACAGAAGAGTCAACTAATGTTTGGAGGACAATTTTATTGTTTTGCTGTCTTAGGAATTGGTTTTCTCTCACAAGAGCTAAAGTTTTAATTTCTGATTAAATAATGAATGTAATCTTTGAAACATAACATCTATTATAATATTAATGACAGATATCACTATTTTTAATTATGGAGAACTCAAAATAAATACAGCATATAAAAACGTAGACACATACCATTGATCCATCGAGCTTCTGGATCATGAAGCACAAATTCTTTCCTAAACAGGTCTTCTAAAGACAATCTGGTTTCTGATGAATTAGACAGCTCATCTAAAATAAAAGAAATTCCAGATTAGATATATGTTTCCTGTTAGTTTTTAAAATGAACATATTATAAAATTTGGAATGCTTTGCTTAGAGAAATATGTTAACTAGATAACAATCTAAACTGACCACTGTGACATGGCTTTTGGAATTTGAAGCTTGTTTAATGATTCTTTGCAACAAATTATTTTTTAAAAAATTAAAATTGTGTTAATCTTATATAAATTTAATAGATCAATCTCATGTTATGTAGTGATATATAGTATGAAAGCAGTTAAGAAATTCTATTGTGCATTTTTCTAAAAAGGCATATTTTTCACTGTTTAAACCATAATCTAGCTCCCCACTCTCCAAACTCAACTTTGACATATTTTCTTTAGTGATAAATTTATAGTTTTGTTGTAAAAACTGAAGATGGCAGAGTTGAGGGATATAAACCTATATCATAAAACTTCCCAACTCAGAAGGAATTTCTCCAAATAAATATTCATAGACTAAATACCAAGTTCCACCAAATAATTACCAACCAAGTAGACTTAAAACATATATGTAAAGTTCAAATGATAAAATGCTAGAATATTAATGAAAATCACACATTTTATACTAGTGTCTAACAGTTAAGCTGGGTGTACTCCCATTCTTATGTTCAAAATTTAAGAAATGAAAGGACAACAGAATTTGAGTGCCAAAATTAGGCACCACAAATACCCTTTAAATGCAATAGGTTATAGACAGCAATATTGCATTTTCTTTGCAAAATAATCGCATTGTTTATTTGCTGTACAAATTCATCTTTGTGGCCTTTCAGCTGTGACCTTCACTCTGGTAGAAAATAAAATGTCAAGGATATATACTAACCTCATTAGATTTTATTTTTTAAAGGTTCAACACTTATTGCAGAAAGAGCTTTGTTTTTTTCCAGCCGAGAAGCTGGGGCAAAGAGTCAATAACTTCAAATGCAATTCCTTTTCACATAAATCAATCATGTATTTAATCCACAAAATAACTGCCAGGAAATAATTGAAAAAAATCATAGTAGAAACAGTGAATTGTTTGATTCCAATCTTAGCATAAAGTATTGTGATATATATATAGTTTTATAAAACAGAATGCTGTTGGGCAAAGATATACATTTGATCATTTGCCTGGCAGTCTGACATACCAAACATTGAACTTTCTTAATTCATTCAAAAAATTTCAAGGCAAAAATTAAGTATTGTAAAGTGCAGGAGACCTATCTTTGCCCTCTCATGAGGGATTTGCACTTGCTTAGCAAAGATTATGATAGATGCGGGAATATGAAGATAGAGTGTGCTAAATGAGTTTGGAGAAAGGAAGAGAAATATCTTGCAAAAGGAATCAAAGAAGGCCGCACTTAAAAATAAAATGACAAACTTTCATTCATTGTTGGTGAGAATGCAAAATCATATAGTCAAACATTTGTACCCTCATAATATGCTGAAATAAAATAAATAAATAAATAAAATAAAATAAAGCAGTTTAGCAGTTTTTTACAAAACAAAACATATTCTTATCATACATTCCAGTAATCACGTTCCTTGGAATTTACCCAAAAGAGTTGAAAACTTATGAACACAAAAAAACCTGCACACAGCTGTTGATAGCAGCTTTATTCATAATTGCCAAAATTTGGAAGCAACCAAGATGTTCTTCAGTAGGTGAATGGGTAAATTGTGATACACCCAGACAATGAATGGTTATTCAGTGCCAAAAGAAAAATGAGCTATCAAGTCAGGAAAAGACAATGGAGAAAATTTCAATGCATATTACTTAGTGAAAGAAGCCAATCTGAAAAGGCTACATACTGTATAATTCCAAATAAATGACATTTTTGAAAAAGAAAACTCTAGAGACAGTGAAAAGATCAGTGGTTGCCAAGAGTTGCAGGGGGAGGGATGGCTAGGTGAGTACAGGGGATTTTTTAGGGCAGTGACACTATTCTGTAGGATACTATGATGGTGGATACCTGTCAATACATATTTGTTCAAACCCATGGGATGCGTACCATGAACAGTGAATTCTACCATAAACTGTGGACTTGGGGTGATAACGACATGCCTATGTAGGTTCATCAGTGGTTAACACCCTGGTGGGGGGTGTTGATAATGGGGGAGTCTATGAATGTGTGAGGCCAGGCAGGGGTTAGTATATGGGACATTTCTGTACCTTTCTCTTAATTTTGCTGTGAATCTAAAACTCCTCTGGAAAACAGTCTATTAAAGTATAAATAAAATGACTTGGATGTTAGGTTTCCAAGGGCAGAAGAAGGGAATGGCAAAGGCCAGAAAAGGAGGAAGAACATTTTTCTTAAAAGGATGAGTGCCTGTTGTTTGACTAGCCAAATATGTCTTGATTCTAGAATTTATTTTCCTTCATAGGAGTCTGAGATTTTAATCATGTGAGCTAATTTTACTAGGGCTTTAGAAATACATTTATTCTATGAAATATCTCAGTAAGACTAGATTTTGATATAGATTAATTTCAAAACTTAAAATTTCCCAATATTATATAAATTAACCATCAATTTTTCTAATCTAATCCTTTCAATTCTTACAGAATTATATTTTACCATCTCTATTTGATAAGTATTTATTTATTTGATCCAATGAATTTATATAGACAAAGGTGGGAGGCAAGCATATGTTTATTCTAGTGGGAGAGATTATGCTAATACAGTCTATTAAACAAATAATCCTTATCTACTAAATTTAAAATTTAACTGTACTATATTCTTTTATAAATATGCATCTGTTTGTCTTCCAAAAATATTTTGTCTGTTCCTAATGAATTCTATATATTTTGTTTACAGTATTTTTAAGGAAGATGCTAATATAAAAAATCTTGTAAGGGAAATACATTGGACCAAATAATATTATTTTTAAATAACTTTTCAAATTATATTTTGGTAATTCTTAAACATGTATTCTTTCATGTGAAATTTAAAATCATCACCACTCACTCAGTTGGCAATGTTATTAAAATAGAACTATTTATACACAGTAAATTAGAAAACTTTAAATATTTTGCATATTAAGGGTTTTCATTCAGAACTACGTATTCCATTCACATTTTATTGTGAATATTACATTGATAATATTTTATCTTTGATTTTTCATATACATCCTTTAACTTTCCTATTTAATTTAGTCCTAAATATATATATGGTTTGTTACAAATAGAACATTTCCTATTTTTATTCTTAATGATTATTATATCTATAAGGTTGACAATTATATTATATACCATATCACATTTTCTTAAAAATTCCAGTGATAATTGAATCTTTTATATTTTATACATTCAATTACATCATCTTTTTAAAAGATTCTTTTATTTCTTCTTTCACAAAGTTCAAACAATTTATTTACTTTATATATACTTTTTTCCCAGGTGATTGAAGATTCACATGCAGTTGCAAGAAATACTACAGAGAGATCTGTATATCATTCATTCAGTTTCTCTCAATAACAGGTAATATCTTGCATAATAATATCACAAAAGGAAATTGACATTGATATGCTCTATCGACCTTATCCAGATTTCGCCAGATTTACATATATTCATTTATGTGTGTGTTTGTTCCATGACCAGGATCTCTTATGTTACCCTTCTATTACCACACCTCCCATCCCCAAACCATAGCAACCTCCTCTCTGTTCTCCATCTCTAAACTTTTGTAATTTTAAGAATGCTATATAATTAGATTCATCTAATACAAAACCTTCTGAGATTGGCATTTTTTTACTCAACAGAATTCCACTGAGATACATACAAGTTGTTGAGTATATCAATAATCTACTTCTTTTGATGCCGAGTAGTATTCCAGGATATAAACATACCACACTTGCTAGCCATTCACATGTTGAAGGACATTTCAACTATTATTTCTAGTTTGGGGTTATTATGAATGAAGCTGTCATCAACATTTGGTTTATAAGTTTTTGTGTGAACACAAATTTTCTCTCTCAGAGATAAAGGCAAAGCATGTAGTTGCTGGATCAATGGTAAGCATATGTTTAGTATTATTAAAGAATTCTATATGCTTTTCTAGAGTAGGTGTACCATTTTACATTCTCACCAGCAAAATAGTAATGATCTGGCTTCTCTGAATCTTTGGCTACAGTCGGTATTATGAAAAAAAATAGGTATTCTGGTATATGTGTAGTGATGTCCCATTGGGATTTTAACTTATATTCTCTAATAGTTAATGAGGCTGACCAACTTTTAATGTGTTTATTTGTGATCTGCATATACCATTCAGTAAAATGTCTGTTCATGTCTTTGGCCCATTTTCTAACTGCATTATTTTTGTTGGTGTGTTTGTTAACTGCTGAGTTTGAAGAGTTCTCTTTTAATCCAGATACAAATCCTTTGTCAGATATGTAAATTTAAAATATTTTCTCCCAGTCTATAACTGTTTTTTTTTATCCTCTTAAAAAACAATTTTTAAGAGAAAAGGTTCTTAATGTTGATGAGGTCTAGTTTATCAATTTTTCCTTTTATGAATCATGCTTTAGCTGTCAAGTCTAACAGTGATTCATTTAGTTCTTGGTCCTGAAGATTTTCTCTTGTTTTTCTTTTTTCCTAAAAAGGTTGTAATTTTATATGTCACATATAAGTCCCTGGTCTATTTGAGTTACTTTTTATATATGTTTGCACATGGCATGAGACTTAATGTGAGGTTTTGTTTATATGTTTTGTTTTTGCTTCTAAATGCCCAATTGCTCCAGCCCCAGTTGTTGAAAAGCATTCATTTCATTTTAGTGAATGATTTCATTAGCTTAATGTTGAAAACAAAATTGAATGATCATGGTGACAGGGAAACTCTTGTCTTTTTTTATTATAGTGGCATCATTAATATTTCATTATATAGTGAGATATTTTTCTTGATTTTTAGAAATGAATCTTTATCATGCTTAAGTAATTTGTTTGTATTTCTAGTCCACTAAGACTTTTTATTAGAAATTGTTACTGTGTAATCAACT